ATAAAATTGATTAGAATTAATAATGCAATATATTAAACTTACACTTTCAGAAATTTCAAAACAGCAATAACAAAGCTTGCAATTATGTGTTGAACAGTGCAATAGTATTTAGTTAATTATTTTAAAACAGCTATAAAATTAATTGGAGCAGTGAGGTGCTATTAAAAAGCCTGTTGAGTTACAATGGCAATGAGATAGGTTAAATAATCACTACAACAGACTTTGTATAATTAAATCACAGTAGATCAGGGAGAAAATCACAGTACTAATTAATTAATGCTATTTCAAATCACTAATAGGAATTAATTGGTTTATATTTGAATTAAGTTAATTTTGCTGCAGAAATGAGATGAACTTCAATAACAATATAAGGACTTATCCAGGTATGAAATATATTTTAAAAATTTACTATCTATCTAATTCAAAGGTTTCACTATAAAGATCTCCAAGCCTCAACTATATATCTATGTGTAACTGATTAATATGAAAGAGCTATGGAGTTGTACTAACCTCTTCTTAGTGATAAAATTTAATAGGGACCAGAAAAACCTATGAAACCTAAAACGGTGCTATATTTCCTCCCCTGCCTCTTAACAGAGAGTGGCAGGCTTCAGAACTTGAGTTTAGCTGTAAGGAAACAAACAAAACTTGCTATGTACATTTGTCAGATCAAAATACCGTAGGAGGAATTTAAAAACTGATAGGAAAAACCGCTTGACTTGCACTCAGTCAGTACCTTTTTAAGTAAATAGAAGTAAAATTGTGTAAAGCGCTGCACCATCTTTGCTGTAAACTCAGCCTTCCCTGAAACCAGAAAGCCAGCTGCAGTCTCTTTTAACAAGGAGCAAGGAACCCTGTAAACCCTCCCCCCCTTTCTTAATGCACTTGAAAGCCAACAAAATAAAAACCATTATACTACAACAATTAGGAACCAACTAGCATCAGATGCAAATAAGAGCAATCTTATTTTTCATGCTAATTCGACCCCTCGTCTTGAAGTAAGGAAGGACGCTCTGTGGGGAATGAAGTACTCGACGGCGTGTTGTAAAGAGAGTCTCATGGTAGGAACTTAATAATTTTCTGAGGAGGCTTTAGGGCATGTCTAATTTTCAAGGCTTCTGATGGTAACTCTGGGAAGACTTGTATTTGGGTATTTTTATATGTTAAGTAACCTCTTGCTGCTGCTTCCTTTAGGACTTTTTGTTTGGTTCTTTTGTCAGCAAACTTTGTCAGAATGTCTCTCGAGTGGAGTCTAAAATATCAATATCTCGGGCCATGGCTTTTGGGAGCATTTGGGGGGCCAAGCCTGTAAGCTGACAAAATGATGGGTGCTACCCATTTTTCTAAGTTAAATACGAATGCCAGCCATGATGAAATAACACAGATTAAATCAGAGTTAGCTTCCCCTCCCTCTGGGATCCCCCGAAATTTCACATTCAGATGCCTTACTTGCGTTTCAACAATTAATAATCATTCTTTATAGTTTATTTCTTGGACTGTCAGTTCTTTTATATCTTTTTTGAGTATGAGGCTCATGTTAAGTGCCGTTTCTGCGTTACCAGCCGTTTTTATTAAGGCAGTCTGAATATCTGCCAGTTGCTCTCCTACTGGCTGCAGATAAGTCTGTATGGTGGTCTGCATATTTTCAGTAAAGCGTTTTTCCATATTTGCCAAAAGAGTAGGCAAATCTGGGCCGTTTGTATTCTTTACTTGTATTTGCGTTGAAGTGTTCTCTGCCGCCATTTTTGCGTTTCCCGCTCTCTGAGAGAACCGTTCAGGATGTTTGTTTCTGGGCAGGAAGAAGTCTTTGTCTGCCGTCTGGTGTGTTTTAAGAGATGTTGTAAGTGTTCCATTTTTTTCCCCAATGTCCAAAGGATCGGGGCAGGTTTTTGGTAGTTGGTTTTATATCTGAAAGAGGGATATGGGATAGAGCTCACAGTTCAAGCGACTGCCATCTTCCATGGCATCACCACACCCCCAAGCAGTTGTAATTCTGAGTCATCTTCAGCCCTCACCTGGAGATTGGCAACAATGGTTTCTCCCAACAGGCACTAAGGGTACCTCAGAATACATTTTACCTCAGAACAACAACAGCAAACAACCTTTGTGCTCTGAGGCAAAGGCCAATCAGGCCACATATGCAAATAACCTCTGTATTCTGACTGGCTATGGGGGGAGAGGAACAGCAAACTGTTTAGAATGTTGGAGGCGAGACTCAGGCAACGCAGCCAGTGGATAGGGACAGCTTCTGATTGACAGATCACGGAGCCAAAGGCTATGGGCGCCGTGTGGAATGTTCAGCAGCGTGCCACCACCAACAGAGAATTATTATATAGAGAGATTAGGTTGGGGGGTTTATTATTGTATGATGTTATATGTGTTTTAAGTCACCTTGAGCCATAAGAAAAGGTGAGCTATACAATATTTTCATAATAAATCTTTTGGTTCCACCATTCAATTCTGTTTTGAATGGTTACAGAGGCACTCTATTCTGCTAAGGTTACTGTCTTTGATTACAAGAGACCAACAACTTTCCTTCTCTGCTCCCTGAAGTCTTTTTTCCCCTCCTCCTGCTTGCCAAGCCAGCATTCTCGACCTGCTGCCACAATCTCTTGATAAATATGGTGGTAAGTTTAAACATTAGCTGCTCCTCTTGGATTTAGAGCAAAGAAACATGATAAATATTTCAGCTGTGTGCCTTGCTCTGGGTCGATGAACAGCTTCTTTGGTTGCCAAAGACAGCAACAGCACAAAGGGATTAGTGCACGTGCGCACACGTGCACACACACCAATCGTAGAAAGGGTTTAAGGAGCAGTACATCAGAGGGGGATCCAAAAAGAACAAAGGCAGCTCAAGCAACTTATTCTGGATGCCAAGTCTAGAGCCAAAAATCACAGAGAGTAGAAGGGAAAAGGATCTGGTGGTTGAGTTGATATTTTAGACTCAGAGATATTGGATTCATATTTCCTTGGATCTGACCATGGCTCCATGGACTGCATGGCCTTTTTGGAACCTGACCAAAAGGAATAAATATAAGCCAACAGAACATCTTCTTCATCCCAAAATCTAATACATTATCTGTCCCTTTCTGGAGATGCTCAGCCTACTTGTTTAAAAAAAATGCCCACTGCACTATCAGCACTAGTGACCATAGCTTAGCCATTGTGGGTCTCCCAGTTTGGTGTAGTGGTTAAGACTCTAATCCAGGAGAACCGGGTTTGATTCCCCACTCCTCCACTTGCACCTGCTGGATGACCTTGGGCAAGCCATAGTTCTGGCACAGTTGTTCTTGAAAAAGAGCAGTCTCTGTCAGAGCTCTCTCAGCCCCACCTACCTCAGACGGCCTTGTCCGCTTCCTCAGAACATACGACAACTGCCACATTGGGGAACAGTGCTCAGAAGACTCATGAGTGGCATGTCAAAGAAAAGCCTTGTGTGGCTCCCAAGCCACTGAGTACCACTTACTTAAAGAATCCTCTAAACCTTGTGATAAGCATAAGGTGAGGCGCTGTTTGCTCTATCCTAACCATCTCTACAGAACACTCATTGTGAACAACAGCTACACTACACTGTACAGTTTTTAACAAGCCAAGTAGGCTGTGGAGAAAGCATGCTTGATAAAACACAGAAACATAGAATCAGAGAGTTGGAAGGGCATACAGGCCATCTAGTCCAACCCCCCTGCTCAATGCAGGATCAGTACAGAGCATCCCTGACAAGTGTTTGCCCAGCCGCTGCTTAAAGGCTGCCAGGGAGGGGGAGCTCACCCCCTCCCTGGGCAGCTGATTCCACTGTCGAACAACTCTTAAAAAAAAAAGTTTTCCCTAATATCCAGCTGGTACCTTCCCGCCCTTAATTTAAACCCATTATTATGAGTCCTATCCTCTGTTGCCAACAGGAACAGCTCCCTGCCCTCCTCTAAGTGACAGCCCTTCAGATACTTCAAGAGAACAATTATGTCCCCCCTCAATCTCCTCTTCTCCAGACTAAACATTCCGAAGTCCCTGAGCCTTTCCTCATAGGGCTTGGTCTCCAGGCTCCCAATCATCCTTGTCACTCTCCTCTGCACCCACTTTATTTTGTCCACGACCTTTTTGAAAGAGGCCTCCAGAACTGCACACAATACTCCAAGTGCGGCCTGACCAATGCAGTGTAAGCAGGACTATGACATCGTGCAGTTTAGATGTTACACCTCTGTTGATATACCCCAAGATCGCATTAGCCTTTTCTGCCACTGCATCACACTGGCTGCTCATATTTAACTAATGGTCCACCCATACCCCAAGATCTTGTTCGCACACACTGCTTCCCAGAAGTGTATCCCCCATCCAGTATGCATGTTCCTCATTTTTGTTACCCAGATGTAGAACTCAGCACTTATCCTTGTTAAATCATATCTTGTTCACATCTGCCCACTTTTCCAGTGTGTTCAGATCTCGTTGAATTGCATCTCCATCTGCTGGTGTATTCACTGCTCCTCCCAATAATTTGGTGTCATCTGCAAATTTAATGAGTAGCCCCTCCACACCCTTATACAGATCATTTATAAAAATATTGAAAAGTATCGGGCCCAGAACCGAGCCCTGTGGCACCCCACTGGACACCTCCCTCCATTCAGATGAAATGCCACTCTCTGAGTGCAGTTCTCCAAGCAGTTCCCTATCCACATATCATGTAGCTGGGGTCCAAGTGCTGACACTGAAGGAATGGAGGGTCAGGAGATGGAGAATGGCCCTGCCTTCCAATTTCCCCTCACTGCACTGACAGGGGCTCCAACACTGGACCAAGATGATGACATTTTGCCATGTGATAATGCTTTTTTATTTTCTCTTTAGAAATTAAAAAAAATGTGTTTGCTTTTTATACAAATGCAGCGTCTCCCTCTGTTTTCTCTCCAACCATTTTCAAGGAAAGCAAAGAATTTTCTTCCCCAACCACTTCTTTCTTGCTCACTCTCTTCGGCAGCAATGTTATCTGTCTATGAATGAGTCATGCTTACCTTGGAGTGGAGCTTGCTGATGTCATGCCTCCTTTCTGACAGGTTAAAAAGCTAGCAGAAGGAAAGAGGGAAAGGGTTAGTTTACATGGGTAACACACATGGTAGGAATCAGTATGGGAAAATGTCACAGCTGCACCATGTTTTATTTCTATATGTGCTTCCTTTTCCTGGAATTGAAGATATAGGTCAGGGGTGTCAAACTCATTTGTTATGAGGTCCGGATCTGACATAAACGAGACCTCGTTGGGCCGGGCCACGTGTGTCACAAAATATAATGCCAGGTAGCGGAGATATAAACTTTATAAAGGAGACAAACACAAAGGGTGTGGGTTTTTTTACTTAAAATAAAAACATGGTTAAAACATTAGCACTCTTACAATATTTTGTTTATTGTCTCTGATAACTGACACCTCTTGCTCTGAATTATTGCATCAAAATGCCTGAGCTGTTGCAATCTTGAGTATGCTGTTCAGATGTGTATCTGTAAGCTGCAAACCTACGATGACTCAGCAGCGAAAGAACTGGAAGAAGAAGCAGAAGACAGCTAGTTCCATTGCGGGCCTGATAGAAGCCCCCTGGAGGCCTCATCCGGCCCCCATGTTTGACACCCCTGATATAGGTTTTTAAGAAACAAATACATTCTCAATTAGCGCTGTCACTTCCATGTCTCCTTAGGCAGACAAAAACAGCTAACATAGTTTGCTGGAAAGAGTTTTGGGGACTTGAAATGCGCTTATAAAGTAATGGATTACCACAATCCTGAGATTGCCCAATTAAGCTTCTGCTAAAAGAGAACTTTGAAAGGGGTTGGGAAGATTCATGGAGAACATTAACAACTACTAGTCATGACGACTGAACCATCTACAGAGACAACAAGCTTCTGAATACCAGTGCTAGGATGCAGCATCAGGGGAAGGCCTCGGCTTCTACGTACTGCTTGTTGAGCCCTCCAGGGCAACTTTGTGTGAAACAGCATTCTGGACTAGATGGTCCACTAGTCTGATCCAACAAGCTCTATTACATTCTTAAGAGTAGCAGCCAAAACTGACTGGGTATACGTGCCATGGCACAAAGATACGGTTAAGAAAAATCAGGGATAATCTGCTCTTGAAAGAGAGAGCTGGAATGGTAAGAAAAGATCCAGACCAAACAGTCTTAGGCAAAATACAAAAATACGCACTATTTATTTTTTGTAACAACAACCCAGAAAAATCAGGAAGTCAAGTGCAAACCGGAACTGATCACAGAATCTCACATGGACTACGACTGTTCATTGGGTGATTCTCCCCCCCCCCCCCCCCACGAAAATTTGCTGGACTGGATATGCTGTGAATCATCATTCAGAAAGGGTCTCACCAGGTAACTGTCCCCATGCTTGGATTTAAGCATTTGTTCTTCTTCCTTCAGGTTGCTGTGGAAGGTCTGCTCTTCCGCAGAACTTGCAAAGTCGACAGCAATTATTCGCTCTGTGACATACACCAGGTCTAGTTCACAAGTGTCCTCCATGGCCTGATATAGGCTCAAGCTCCTAAACCAAAGAGAAGCAATTGAACAGTCATTGAAGGATACAAAGCATCTCTGTAACTGAACACTATTTCACTTTGCTTCTACTGTCAAGTGTAAATTCTGTTTCTGGAGTACTACAAGGGGGCTTCTGTACTTTTCAACTGCAGTTACTGATTTAAATTAAAGCAACATGAGTGATTATGCAATTTTTATTTAAGAAGTGTATTTATTACAATTACTTACATCTCACTTTTTCAAAACAACAAAACAATTTAAAGTATGTAGCAACTAAATAAAACATTATAATACAATACAAATAATAACATTATTCAGGTAAGTCTTGCCAGAGATAACAGCAGCAGTAGATAAAACACAGGAAAATACCCTTGAAACCCAAAATACAATTAATTCAGACAAAAGCCTATGGAACAAAAATGTCTCTCCCTGGTGCCTAAATGCTAACCGTGAAAGCTCCAGGTGAACATCATGTTAGGGTGCGTTCAGATGGGCAGCTAATCCCGTAATTATGCCAGCTTGAATTTTATCCCGATCTTTTTAATCCATCATAGCATGACCAGATATCCCCCTGGTGAATCACCTTACCGCGAGCTGCCTCCGTTGTGGATTCTCTAGATGGCATCCACTGAAGGAGGCATGCGCGGTGGGGTTTTTTAAAAAACTTTTTGCGCATGTGCATAGGTGTCACAGCATGTCCTTGTTGAAGGAAGTGCATGGTGGGTTTTTTTTAAAAAAAACCTTTTTGTGCATGCACATAGACGTGACAGCACGTCCTTGTTGATCTGTGCATGTGTAGAGATTTTTTAAAATGGCGCCTGCTTGGGATGGTCTGACATCAGACCACCCCAACGGGAGGATTGTGCACTGGTGGAACGATCAGACAGGTGAAAGTCCACAGTTGTCCCACAGGTAACCGAAAACCCCAGATTTAAAGTGCTATCTTTTAAGTAGGGCTCCGAAGTGCAGGAAAACAGGATGCCCACGGAAGAGGGACGTTTCCCAGATGTCTGTGTCTGGACATTTGTTAAACAAGTATAAAGCCAACAGTCGTGATAGTCTGACCCACACTCAGAGGGAAAAGCTAAAATAACTCTTTTTAATGTGACAGCCAGAGAAGCAGGTGGGAGATTCTCCCCAGTATTGCTCAAATGGCCAAGTGACGAGGGGAGATATCTTGATTTATTCTTGGCAGAGCAGTAGGGCAGAGTAGGACATTAACAACAAATCTATGAGGCATGCATTTGAAAAAGCCAAAGTCTGGAATAAGCTCCTTAATAAGGATCTAACAGAATAAACCCACCCCCTCTTCATTCATCATTTGTTGCAACACTCGCCATTTTTTGTTCCTATGGGGAGCCAGGGCAGGAACCTAATGGGGTAGCCCTGTACAAATTTAGTGGGGTGTGTGTAAAGGACTGCCAGTTACTGTAATTTGGAAAGTAAGAGAAGTAAGAAAATTAAAGGGCTGACTGAGAATAATTATCCCCCCCCCTTCAAAGTTTCTTTTACTGGAAAAACCATCGGAAGGAGTGACCTTGAAAATTATTTATCAAAACATTTCCCAGGTGTTCAGCCAAAAGGAGGTGTAAAAGCAACAGGTCTGGGCACAAAGTCAAAATTGAAGTAGTATTTAAAATAAAGATTAGACAGTCTTGGCAGAGAGCCAGGCTGTGAAGTAAACTAAATAAAAACAAAAATCTGGCTGGAAAGAGTTGACAATAAGAAAAGAACTTATATCATGTTTAGAAGAGAGCCAAGATGGCAACCCAAACTAACGTTAAAAGTACGCAACTAAAAACACCTCAACCATCACCTCAATCATCACCAGGGGTGGGAGGAGTCACAATATCTAAATTTTCAGCCCCAGCACAAAAGGAGATGCAGTCATTGGTCCAACTTTCTGTCGCAGAAGCTGTAGATCCCATCAAAATTTAAATGAAGAAAGTGGAAACAAATATGGAACAAATAACAGAAAAATTCGTGAGCAGTCTACAAGCAATACAAACACTAGTTTCAGAAAATACAAAACAAATTGTGGAATTGAAGAAGAAAACAGAAAAGATGGACTTTAAGATGAAAAGGATTTAAGATGAAACAAGGAGACTTGACTTGAAGCAAGAAGAATATGAACAAGAGCTGACTAGACTTCAAGTCAACAAAGCAGCGTATGTACTGAGATTCCAGAATATTCCTGAGGAAAAAGATGAAGACATCATCGGAAAAATGGCTAAGATTTTAGCAGATTATATGAAGAGATGCTAAAGGAATTTGATCAAGTATTCAGGATGAATTCAGCATACGCAAGACGAATGAAAGTTCCAAGGGAAGTACAAATCTGGTTTGGCAAAAGAATTATTAGAGATAAAATCTTGAAAGAAGTAAACGCAACACCAATGATGATAGATGGGAATGAAATAAAAGTTTGGAAGAAAAACACATGGAGGGTAAGAGAAAAAAGAAAAGAATATACCAAACTGACAATACTCCTGAGGAAAAACGATGTACAATATTGCTGGCTCCTTCCAGAGGGTGTCACTTTTATTTTTCAGATGAAAAGGTATCGGATAACATCCTTATTCAAGGTGGAAGACTTTTTGGCTACCTTTGGAAAAGAGATGAGTGCCGAGGAAGATGAAGACATAGAAGAAGAAGAAGGAGCTATAGGAGGGACAAAACCAAGGGAACAGTGACCCAAAGGCAACCTGATGGAACCTGGAAACTGATAAGAGAAAACATGCAACAACAGAATGGAAAAAATGATGGATAGAGGAAAGATAAAAATTTTATCGGTAAATGTCAATGGCTTGAATGGACCACGAAAAAGAAGAAGGATATTACATCAATTGGCCAAACAGAAACTGGATTTAATTTGTTTGCAAGAGACACACATATGTAGAAAAGATGAAAAATATCTCCAAAATAAAAAACTAGGAAAAACTTTTGTAGCTTGTGACAAGGAGAAAAAGAAAAGAGGAGTGGCTACTTATGTTAAAGATAACTTGTTTCCTGAATTGACATATGCATCTGAAGATGGCAGAATTTTAATGGTGGAAATACAAAATGAAGGGGGAAATGTTTTGGTAGTAAACATATATGCTCCAAACCAGGACCAGGAAGAATTCTACAAGAAACTTCACGATCTTATTACTCAACAGGACTCTCAAAATATCTGTCTTCTAGGCAATTTCAACTCTGTATGGGATAAAGATATGGTATGGATCTCAACGGTTTTGATAAAAGACTTGATAGAAGCAGAAATTCAAGCTGGAATTTTTGCAGATCACAAACCGGTATATATGGAACTACAAATGATTAATAAAAAAAGTAGATGGACACTGAATGTGTCAATTCTGAGAAATGAAGAATTTGTTAAGAAAATAAAGACAGAACTGGAATTTTTCTTTAAAGAGAATAGAAGACCAGGAACCTCAATAACGGTTGTATGGGACGCAATGAAGGCATTTATTCGAAGAAATATGATACAAGAGACATCAATAATAAATAAACGAAGGAAACAAAAAATATGAAAATTTGAAAAAACAAATACAAAACCAGGAAAATATAATGATGGAAATGATATCAAAAGAGAGTGCGGATAAAAAACTTAAACTATTACACCATCAAGAACTAGCAAAAAAACTATTTTTTGCAAAACAGAACTTTTTCAAAAATGCTAATAAACCTACCAGATGGTTGGCAATAAAACTTAGACAACAGAAAGAGAGAACATATATTAAAACATTAAGAAAAGATGATAAAAAGATAAATAGAATGGTGGATATTCAGAAAGCAATAGAAAACTTTTTACGGAGTCTTATACGACAAACCGAGTGTGAACATAGAAAACATAAAAGATTATTTGAGGATACATCCATTGGAAAAATTCACTGAGGATCAAAAAGTAATATTAAACCAACCAATATCTAAGACAGAAGTTATTGAAGCAATAAAGAAACAAAATAAAGAGAAAGATCCTGGTCCGGACGGATTGCCTATAGAGTTTTATCATATCTTCAAAGAGCAAATAATAATAACCTTGGAAGATATATGTAATATAGTGAGAAAAGAAGGGAAGATTCCGGATACCTGGAAAGAGGCAATTATTTCTTTGATACTTAAACAAAACCAGGATGAAAAGAAATTAAAAATTATAGGGCAATATCTTTGTTGAATGTGGACTATAAAATATATGCATCAATATTAGCTCAAAGTCTTAATGAAAGTGATCCATCACGACCAAGCGGGATTCTTACCTAAAAGACAGATGAGAAATAACCTCAGATGCCTAATGAATATCCTTGAATATTATGAAATACATCATGGTAAACAATTAGCTCTGGTATTCTTGGATGCAGAGAAAGCGTTTGACAAGGTTAATTGGCCATTCATCACAGAGACATTGTGAATGGTGGAAGCAGGTGAAAACTTTATTAATATGAACAAAGAGCAAGAATAGCGAATTGACAAACATTTTTAAGATCCAAAAGGGGACTAGACAAGGTTGCCCTCTATCTCCTCTTATATTCATCCTAGCCTTAGAGGTATTAAATAACGTAATAAGAAGGGATAAAGAGATTAATGGATTAAAATTGAAAGGAGAAGAATACAAACTATTAGCTTTTGCTGATGATATTGCATTTATTATGGAACAACCGAAGGAAGTAGCCGTTAAACTAAAATAAAGGATTCAAGGATATGGACAAGTAGTGGGACTGAAAATAAATGTTAACCAAACTAAGATTCTGACAAAAAAATATGGATGTGAAACAAAGAGAAAATCTATATCAAGCTACTGGATTTCAAATTGTTGACAAGGTAAAATACCTTGGGATTAC